GTGTATGAATTGAAGAGCCAGTACACACGCACCAAATATCTTCTCCTCCTCTTCCTCTAGCACTTCCTCCTCTTCCAGAGCTGCGATCCTGCTCTTGAGAGACTCGTACATAGCAGCAGGATCGACAGGTGTATCGTTCTTCTTCTTTCCTTTCTGATTGTGCGAGTAGGACCCATTAACGGTGTTGTTGGAATGGGGTGGTACGGGTCGATTTGGAGTGGGTGGATTCGGGTGATTAGGAAGAAGAGGAGGCGCGACAGAGGGCGCAGAAGGAGCGAGACCTGTGGGAGGTGGTTTTGCTGGTCGCGAACCTATTGCATTCTGACTGGGAAGGATATTTGTACCGTTCATAGGTATTTGATCCCCAGACGTCGTGCTGGTGGACCTGCGCGGTCGGCGAGGGATGCAAGGTATGAAGAACTTGAGGAAAGTAATGTTTTGAAAGCGTGGAGGTCAACGGTAGACTTTTGTGTTCCCAATACAAGCGGACGGGATGATTGCAATAATTTTTCAGAGACGGAAGAGAGAGAGCGTCATGGACTCGGCTCAGAAGGCTGAGCGTTAGAATAGTAGTGGCTGATCAATGCGTTTACCAAAGTATCGCAACTTTGTGTGCTAGACGCTTTTATGTGTTCGAGTAGGCTCAAGTTCAACACCCGAGCCGAGGCCAATCGTAATGAAACTAATTTATTGCAAGTTCATACCGAGGAGCCCATGTAAATTACTACTCGGAAGAAGGTCTGCATGACAAAAAAAACACAATGAAATCTGTTTCTAGTATTAGAACCAAGTCAGATCGAAAGACTGGTTAACTGCAGGTAGCTAGCGCTGAGTCTGGTTTATCTTGAGCCTAGCTTCTGACTGACAAGAGGAACGGCTTCAACAACATTCCGCTTTGGCTGATGTAATCTTACTGCACGTGATCAAAGTCGCGTCGCGTCCATAGATGGCATCATTGCTCTTGACCGAAGACCACACCTTGTAACTGTAACAAACCATGTACTCTCCAGGTCAGAAATTTACAGTGTAAAGCTTGACATCTGACAACGTTAACTTTGCAGATTCTTCTCCAGCCAGGAAGAAGATGAGAATGTCATCTCCGACCTATGATGAACAAGTCGATGACATGAGTCAAGACGATATAAGCGCTTTCGATGCCATTGAGGCACGCCTCTCTCAACTGGCTCCTCCACTTCACAAAGTACTCCTACCCAGCAACAACTCTCACCGCAGGCTCAGCTCGAATGGCTTTCGTGAGAGCGAAGCTGGAGACCATAGCACTTCGTCCGATCAGGACCTGCTTTCCTCACAAGACATAATTGTCCAAGGCGACGACAATCCGTACGACCCATTTTCTGATTCGGGTGCCTCAAAACCTATCGTATATGCATCTTTTACCAAAGCATCTGCCGTTCTTCCACCGGTCGGCTTCAAGTCTGCATCATCTTTGCCTATCGAGAATGTAGATGAAGCACACCGTTCACCTTCGCCAGAGACACCCCAAGAAGTCGATTACTCTTCGTGGTTTACTTCGGCTCCCCCTGCCTCTTTTGTAGGCTTTCAATCTGCCGCATCTCGCCTCGCAAAAGCCAAAGAGAATGTTTTCGACGCGAGTGCCAGTCACACTACAAGTATGGGTTTTACGTCAGTCGGAAAAGGGAATCTTATCGTACCATCAACCGCTGCTTTGCGCAAGGCCGAGGAGAAGATGAAGGTATGGCAGGATGAAGTTGGTGGCACGAGTTCCTCCCAATACTCTGGAGGGTTTGCACCTGCTTCCTCGGCGCAACCGACCTCGCCTCAGCGCACAGTTCTTGGGGCAGTACACAATTCCTTTTCGCCTCATGTACCAGATACCCCGACTCCTGCGATGGCCACCCGCAGGTCATTTGAAGCTGACCCACGATCGACACTTGGCACACCAACACTTGGTGTCAGCGACTTCAAGGGAAAGCAAAAACCATTCAAATCTCCTTTGATGACCTCCGCACCGTCACGACAGCCTCCCGCGGGTACAGCCAGTTCTGCATACGTCAACTCTCCCCTCAACCCTCATCGTCAGGGCTTTGCGTCTGCATCTTCTCATGTGCCTTCGACCATACCAGCAACGCCTGTACGTCCATCGGCATCAGTTAAACCCGGAAGTGCATTTCGACCGCTGGGCCTCACGCCGCGAAATTTACGTGGTGGTCTGGTCAAGTCCAAATTCGTGACGCCGTTCAAACCAGGCATCAAGCCTCCAGAATTGAGCAGTGCCGCATCAGTTACACCGTCGCTTGCTGCTCCAAGTTCCAGTTTACAACGACCTTTATATCCACCGTCAGCAACCCAATCTCCTAGGCCAGTAAAGAAAGCTCCCGAAAAGGGTACAGGCAAAGTATTCAACCTTGGTAGGTGTTTCGTCGCAGTGACCCGACTGGCGGCTTATCGTTCGTCACAGTCCCTCCCGCAGGAAGGATGACACTTGCTACTTCTGGTCTTACACCCCAGGCATACACAACCAAGGACCTGGAGAATCAGGGAATGTCAGATAGTCGATTTTGTCGTAGTGCCAATTACTAATTCGCTTTTATATAGAAATGCCACAGAGCTGTCCCAGATAACACCAGTTACCGCTCTCTTTTACTCATTTCATACGCCATCTGTTACGCCGGTCGGTGGTTCCAAGCCCTCTGACGTGAAATCTCTCGGACCCGTTGCCGCTCTCGAAGAACTCCACGCAAGAGGGTGTTCGTTGGCCACGCAGGAATGGGTTAACAATCATTGGCCGCTCATCCTCTGGAAGCTCGCTGGAATGGTTGCACTCGATCCAGAAGCAGAGTCCAGTCCCGATCGCAAACGGTGGTGCTGGCCTGAAGTGATCCGCCAGCTGCTGTACAGGTGTGCAGTCTGTCCACCCTTTTCTTCCGCGACTGACCATAGACGTAGATACGAACGAGACCTGAATGGGTCATCCCGACCTCCACTACGGCTAATCACCACAAGAGATGCGCCTGCTGCATCTCCAATGGTGCTATGCGTGTCAAACGTGACTTGGTCGCCAGCTGGAGAAAGTGACGATGGTTTTCCCATTCCATCACATCCCGAATTGGAAGTGACAGACGGATGGTATAGACTGCGTGCGAGGGTCGATCAGCCGCTCGCGAGAGCGATCCGTAAGGGTCATATCAGGATCGGGAGAAAATTTGCTGTTGCTGGAGCCAGGGTAAGTGGATCACTTTATATCGTGGTATTGGCTAACTTTTCGTATAGCTCTCTGCAGAGCGAAAAGATGGACAGGAAGTCCTCGAGGCGTATGAATCAAATGTTCTGGTACTGACAGGGAACTCGTCACACATGGCTCCCTGGCACGCAAAGCTTGGCTTCCAGCGAAGTCCATTCATCGCGACATTCAACAGCCTCACGCCGGACGGTGGAAGTGTAGCCGTTGTGGCTATCGAAGTTATCAAAGTAGCGATCAGCATTTAGCAGCTAGGCATGGCTGACTCTTGCTCACAGTTTCATCCTGTCGCATATGTTCAGTTCATTGAAGACGAAAACGGGAGGCGGATGGAGGGTCCTCGCAATGCCAAGGATGAAAGTGCTTTGAGCGAACAATGGAGGGTAAGATAAAAAGTTCTTCGCTAAGTCTGGTGCTCACATCCTACGTCAGAGGAAGCGCGAAGTCGCTGCATCAAAGCTCTGGTCAGACATTGAAAAACGAGCATCGTTGATGACAGGGTATGCAGAGAGGCTTGAACAACGTGTGGGTCCTAGCTTCAATGTCAAAAACGAAGGTGAGAAGGCCGTAACCAAAACTGTATGGTGCTCACGGGCTGTTTCAGAAATGCCAGACAACCTTGATGACCTATATGAATCCTTGGAGGAGAGTGACACTCATCAAGCCAAGACAATACTCTCACGGCTCAGCAGCATTGAAGCAGGCAGTCTTGCCGCGCACATCAGAGAGAAGCTTCTCCGAGATCGTGAAGCTGTCGCAGGAGACATTGAGCGAGAATTGCAGGTAACTTTGATGCTCGCATCAAGTTTCTTTTCACTGAGTGCCCCGCAGAGCAAATGTCCCGCTCGGGAAGTGCGCAATTTCCGTGTTGTCATAGTGGGGGATGCATATGCATACACACGGGGCGGCAAGGATGGTCGCAAGGCTCAGTTAACCGTCTGGGATGTACTCAACCTGTCCATTGCTGAAGGATCTAAAGCAGGGGAGTTTAAAGTGGGTCAGAAGTTCCTCGTGAGTGGTGTGTTTTTCAAAGGAGTAGGAGTCTCACCTCACAATTTCGCCAGGTCACAAACTTGATGCCCAAGCAAATGTCTGCATGGATGGATCGCGGTCCTGGGTCTGAGGTATACCTTGCCACCACAAAAAATACTAGGTGGAAAAGGTTGCCGTGAGCGGACGATTGCTGAGGGTAGTGTGAAAGTGGGTCTTTTCAGTAGGTGCAGCGTGTAGTACTAGAGGGGGTGTAATGATATTATTTGCTTAAACGGCTAGCTTCGCAGGTGACATCCATTTCGCCGATAGCAACTAAGTGCAACAGTCCAATCTGTTGAACGTAATGATGTGCTGACACTGTAACCTTGTGACACTATAGTGACAGTACCGTCGCTCGGATATGGTGTAAAGGTAACATATCCGCCTCTCATCGGAGGGTGCGCGGTTGCTCGGGGTTCGATTCCCCGTATCCGAATCATTTTGCCTCCATGATCGTCCGATACCGTTATCGAGGAACAACTTCAGTCGTTTTTTTGTCTCTGTCAGGCTTAAGTAGGATTTATCGCTCGTGAATTGACTTCGCGCCAGCAGTATTTGAAGTTCTTCAACACCTGAATCCAGGTAGATATATAGTTCCCTACCAGGGTAAACACTACCACGTCTTTCGACACATCACGATTTGCCGTTGTCGTGTCCACGGAGTGAAAACACGGAGCAAGCAGATTCATCGATAGCCATCTGACACGCTGAACCGATGTTATCAATCACATGTAGGGAAGTATTCCATGAACCCGTGGCGCAGTGGTAGCGCGTATGATTCCAGATGACCTTCGAGTCATGGCATCCATAAGGTCATCCGTTCAATCCGGGTCGGGTTCACTTTTTTTGTTCAACACCATTTTGGTGCAGGCTGTTCATTTTTAGTTCAGCATAGAATTTAGCAGTCCCCGATTTAAGACCGTAAACTATTTATTAAAAACCTGCATGGAACTGACTTTAGCAGCATATATCCTGAGTTCGAGTCCGAGTCCGAGCTGGTCCAATTACTTAAACTTGGTTGCATACCGTGATTGACTAGCACTCTGCTCAGCGCTGATCCGCTCCATCCCGGATCGCTGATCACAAGTAAGTCTGCTCACAGCGCGCTGTTTCACATTCTTTCGAACGTTAGAGTCAGTTCGGAAACTCGATGTTGGGGCGTATTTGCCAACATGTGCATGTGAGGCAATGTGAGTTGCATCGGCATGCTTCTTCAGCCAGTCGGAGCTCGAACCTTCCTCACCAACTAACCAGCACCACAATGGACTGGATCGATCCTCACCTCCGCAAGCTGATCTATTCATCAGTTGTCGCTGCTGTATCCATCTGTGGCCAATTTACTACTGTTCTCATGGCTACTGAACCATCTACTACTACTGCTAGTGCTACTCCAGGTGTACCAAAGGCACAGTGGAATGTACCAGAGACCAATGCCCTTCTCGCCCACCTACTCAAGAACATCTCAGAGGCTGGGGATGGCGCGAATTTCAAGGGCTCTACATGGACTTCAGCAGCGACTGCCCTTGCAACGGCTAACTTGCTAACTGCAGGCCCTCCGAAGACAAATAAACGATGTAGAAGTAAATGGATCTCCGTGAGTGCATCGAGATTCTCTAAGTCCCATTCCACTAATAATTACCCCTGTACTAGCTCAAAATGACATACCGAGAGATCCAAAACTATCGCAACATCTCAGGAGCTCATTGGGACAATATTAAAGGCGCTGCAATCGAAGGAGAGGCTGCATGGCAGGTATTCAATAGCTACGTTGGATCAAGCGTACGTCCTGCTGTCTAAGATCATCTGCTATATTCTAATCCTTCAAACAGACATCCCGCCATACATTGCGGCAATTTTCCAACAGTGGGTGGATATACTACGACAAAATCGCTGAAATTTTACTGAATGGCACTGGCGCTCAGGGAAACCATGCCTTCTATCCGGCTGCTGCTGCTGCAGCTGCTCCGGTGCTAGTTGATGATGATGATGGGCCTGGAGCCGACGAGCATATCATTTCTGCCGCCGCAACCCTCATTGCATCAGCCACCAGCTCTAGCGCTGATCCTCTTGCCACTTCTATAGAATCTCTTGGCGATATCAACTTCACTGCCTCCCGCTTTCCCACTGTGCCTCCTTCCACTATTGGGTCTAGTATCGGCACCGGAAAACGCACACACAACGACGCATCGTTTGACATGGCGTCATCATCCTACGCATCTACTCCTCCGTCATTTTCAGGCCCCTCGGCGTCAGTAACAGCACCCCCTGCAAAAAGATCGCGGTCTGGATGCCATAGTGACATGTTGATGAGTAGTGCAGCACGAGGGTCAAAGCTTACACCTGCCACCGCGGTTGTTGGAATGCAAGGTTCCATCAACCGTCATCGGCGACATTCTCGAAAAGCTGGTCACCGCGCCTGCGCCTGCACCTCCCCTTCCTCCTCCCCCTCCTCCCTGGCCATAACAGCCCTCGATCGCGCTATGCATCTTATGCAGACTGAAGATGCTGATGTGCCTGCAGAGGAGCTAGGGCGGTTGTTACTGATTTTCACGAGCAACGAGCGGGCGATGGAAATTTATGTGCAGAGCCCACTTGCAACACGCCGCTCTTATGTCAAGGCACTTCTTGATGCTCACGCGTCGAAGCAGGTGTAATGCTAATCTCTCGTCCCTTGTTCATTCAAGTTGTACAATGTGTCTCAGGCTGTATTGCGCTGTGTTCTTGTGATTGTTGTCACCTCATTGTTGTCTGTTGTCCTACAAGTCATGTAGCATTGGATTGTAATACGCGTATGATCTATGCATCAATATTATCGTCTGCAGCTTCATCCTCATCTACATTCTCGTCATCAAAGTCAAGTAAGAAGTCCTCTTCGTCTAGATCGTCACCATCTGCTAGTGCTCGTTCATGCAAAATCTGCCCATATTGAGCCCACATACCCTCAGCAATGCGGTTGCGCAAGCGGCTCATTTCATTTTCCACTATTTCTTCCTCACCTACTACTGCATCAAGTGGCTCAGCCTCATCCTCCACCGGATCCCCATCTGAGTTGGTATCTGGGAGAGGACCCTCCTGTGGGTCATGCAGGCGTATAAAGTTATGGATTGCACATAGAGCGGCTGGAATCTGCGCCTGGATCTCTAAGTTATACCTCGGTGCAAGAATGAGGATGCGAAAGCGATGTTTTACGACACCAAAAATACGTTCAATAACGTTCCTTGCCATGGCATGGCGAAGATGAATAGTTCCTCTTTATTGCACGGCCTGTCATCAATGTTAGTATCTCAGAGATGGCGTTCAGAAGAATATGATCTCACCTGACACTCGCTCGCCCCCACTCGGCGAGATGATAGCGGACACCGCGGTATGGGATCAGAAGTCCACGGCGTAGAGGATAACCAGCGTCGGCAAGAAAATATTTGTCTTCGGAGATATGAAGGTCTTTAGTACATGCGTCCTCGAAAACATGTGCGTCTGTGGCGGATCCCTCCCAACCAGTGAGAGCATAGGTAAAGTTCATGTCGAAGTCGCATGCGAACAGGCAGTTTTGAGAGACGAGACCCTTGCGATCACGGTAAGCAGCACGTTCAAGTGCAGGAGGCGTAGCATGGATATGACTCCCATCAAGCGCCCCAATGGCATCCTTAAAAAAGGGCCAGAATTTAGGATTCCGGCGGATTCTCTGGGAAGTTACTTCATCTGATGGCAGGTGCACGTAGTTTGAATAGAATGGTGGGGTTGAGAAAATTACGAGCATCCTTCGAAAGTATCTAGAGATAGTGAGATGGATGAGTCCAGTCCATGAAAATATGACACTCACCGAGAGATTGTCTCATTGGAACGCTGAAACCTTTCTCCGATGTGCCTGATTGACAGGCCAGTGACAGCGGCATACAAGAAAATAGCAAGTTGCTCCTCGAGAGAGACGAACTTGGAATTGGAATACCCGAGGGCACGGAGTTCTGAGATAAGCTTTGCAAAGACATGGGCATGCATGCCGAGCTCGCAACGAATGCGTTCAGGATGACCAGTGAGTAATTCAACCACCCATGCTTCACCAGAAAGCGCTGATGTATGGTAGGGTTCTGGGTCCCTTGGGTACATAGACACTACAAGACTACCAGATGCATGGATGAGAATGCTGAGTAGAAGTACCGTGTACTGGATGATCTTATGATGAAGCTGTGGCCGGTGTTGAAGACGAAGCCCCGGAAGGACTTGGGGTAGGGACTCCATAGTACTAGTGAGGATTCACGAGCTCGGGGACGAAGTCTAGTATACCGTCTGTCGAACTCTAAGCTAGGATCATATTGGAGCTCCGACTGGCCGAAGAAGCATGCCGATGCAACTCACATTGCCTCACATGCACATGTTGGCAAATACGCCCCAACATCGAGTTTCCGAACTGACTCTTAGTTAATGCTACAACCATCAAACGTAACTAGCGTCGACTCGGATTCATGTCGCCTTCGCGAACTGCCGCGACTCATGTGCAACACGTCTTCGATGACCCTGTGATCAGCGCTCAGGTTGCGCTCATAACTTATCCCATCACAAGTATGTAAGTGAGTTATTTCCATCACAGCGCCAGCTGCAGAGCATACCTCTTATCATTTCAATGATGTTGAGTGAAACTCGTCGAGGGATTGGGACATTAATTATTTCGATCAGCAGGCGAGTTATTACAATTTTTAAGTGCACGATTTACATTGACAGTTCCGCGACACTACTAAGACACGTATCGAATACATATAATCAATATTAATGCCCACATACGATGGCTCCTACCAGCTCCTACCTCTCAGATCCGCAGTGTGTCTGAAAATTGAGACAGTCGGTCACGGTGGTACGTCATCTCATCGACGACATCATTTTTTATTTTTATTTGTCGATAAACATAGACTAGTATTTATACAAGGGTGTCGGTGAACTAGGGCATGCTGGGAATTTCTGGGCAGCGGCAGGTAACTTCCTGCGGTGTTATTCTAAGCTTGTGGGTAGTATATCATATACTGACAGGATTCGTTGCATGCATTGCAGCACAGGTACTGATTCACTACGAGTCATTTATTCTCTTCATCTAGTTCACAAGGTGGCCGTCCTATGCTCAACCCTCCCATGAACCTCTTGGTTGTCTCTCCTATCTGAATCCGTAATCATGGGTATACCTTTGGACAAAGCTGCCTTCTTAGCTTTATTTCTCGAGTCCTTGTTTTATGGTGCGTTACCGACTAGTGGAGAGATCATAGTGTCGAATTTCACTGTTTAAAATAGGCGTATTCCTCACTTTGTACTGGTTCACGCTATTCATCCTACTCAAGAAACCTGGCGTTCAACGCCAGCTCCTTCTCCCAGTGGCAACCTTGCTGCTCTGCATTTCAACGGCCGTAAGTCACTGAGTATACTTAATCAAACCTCTTGGGGAAATGGCTCAACGCGATCACTTTCAGCACTTAATCATTGATTTTGTTCGAGGGTTAGAGGCATTCGTATCTAATGTGGATACGATTAGCGCAGATGCCTACTATTCCAACATTGCTTCGCCATTATATCTCGCATCAACGGCGCTTTGTGTCACGCAGACAATTCTTGCCGATGGTGTGGTTGTGAGTTTCTCTACTTGACATGTTCGCATTCCCCTCTTAGTAGGGCTGTAGGTTTGGCGAAGTTATATGCTTAATAACAGAAACCTCTTGATCGCCATTCCTGGCTGCATCGTACTCTTAACCAACGGGGGTGAGTATCTCGAGAAGTACTATTCGACCATTGTCTTATCAGACATTTTGCAGCCACTGGATACTATGTTATCTGGTCCCTTTCTCGGACCCGTCCGCCGTTCA